TGATGCATGTAGGAAAATATTTTACTAGCTGTTCCTGCGGCTTCATCCGCATGAAATTGTAAAAAAACACTATTATATTGTTTACATTTGTTAATTTCGTAATTGCAAACGTCAAAATTACCGTTATCATAACAACCTTGGTTTCTTAATGTTGGCAGCCTGTAGTTTATGGTCCCTTTCCCACATGAAGTTTTTTTTTTTTCAATTTATTTACTCCCTAAGTGTAATAGCATGAAAATTATATAGCCTAAAGCGTGTCGTAAGTGTAGGGCTTTTATTAAAGGAAGAATTTTCAAGAAAATGTTGTAATTGCTGAGATGAAAAAAATAGTGCATGTTTACACTTTATTATATTCGTATAGATTACAATACAGAAACCGTTACATAGATCACTTAGCATTATAGAGACAATACATTAAGGACTTTATTGTGTCCCTATGTGAGGCCGAGGTAATCCTAAATAGACTACGTTATTGCGAGGTCAGCTTAAATTGCATTGTTGAAATGAGATTTTACGGACAGTTAGGGTCATTCCCGGAACTCGATATGTGAGGCTTATGAAATTAATTGCTTTTCAATCCCAATTTCTGTTGGCCTACATCGCTTTTTCTATTTCAACTTTTATCGTTTACAGCATTGGCGTAGTTTTACAATCTTTATTATTATAATAAATCGTAAACACACACTTCTTTGTTGCTAAAGATGTCAGCAATAACAGCATTTTTTTGAATAATTATCTTTTTTAATAAAAGGCTCTACAGTTATGTCACGCTTTAGGCTATATATTATCATGCCATTAAACTTAGCAGGTAAATTTTTTGGATAAAAACCCTAATGTGGGAAAGACACTATAAGTTGTTGCCAACATCAAGGAAGCAACGTTGCCATGGTTTGTCATCGTCATGTCATTTTGACATTTGCAATTGATATTTTGTACATTTTAAACATGTAAACAATAAAATATAATTTTCATAATTTTATGCGGATGAAGTTGCACGGGAACAGCTAGTTTTAAATAAATACAGTAGTACTAAGATTTAGTACTAGAGACATATTTTTTGCCAATATATTTCTTTAGTAGAATCCCGCTTCTTATAAATATTGGTGTTTTTTTTGTTAAATGGATGATCATGAAGAAAACGAGATATGGAAATTACAATAATAAAAGTTGCAATAACCTGTGCAACCCCGAAAGTTTGTGTTTAATAATGTAATTTAAAACAAACGTTTTCTTTAAGAACGAAATCTCTGAAACAATCTTTTATTCCTGTTAATACAATTTCGTGCACAAATTGTGAGTGTCGTAGTTCACTTGGTTTTAAAGCGTGAGTCGTTACTGATGTAAAGAGTGAACCTTTGTGCCGCGGACGGGGACATGTTCCGTGAAACGCTTGTTTTCTTTTGATGTGTGAACTGAAAGGATGGAAACGCGCCCTTGCGTTCAGGTTTTTATTTTTACAGCCAAAGTATTTTAACGTTAACGTCCAAGCTGTTAAACATCATTATTTGTAGTAATGAAGTCTTTTGGCACTATAATATCGATCGTAGTTCCACGTTTATATCTTACTAATATTATGAATGCGAAAGTTTGGATTGATGGATAGATAATTGTAGAAAATTGCAGCCTAAACAGAACAAATCTGGATGAAATTTGTCGCAGATTTAGAAAATATTCTGGAAGAAAACATAGGCTACTTACTAAGTTCTTTTTAATTACGTGCAGATGGAGTCGCGAGCGAAGGCTAGTTTTAACAATAAATGAACTAATACTTCAAATTTTAAATGCTACGTTTTTACAATATGAAGATGAGATAGATGTCTGATTTATGTGACTTATTTATATTTTTAATAAATTATGCCGTACTTCCGGCGATCAATCGAGTTGATTACAAACACCGATAAGGCACAGATTACGGCACTCCATTTCGCAAGATTTCCATCGAAGTAGATCACAATACATAATTCAAACGTCGACAAAATTTGTAACAAGGCCTTCGGTGTAAACTGATCGAGACCTGAATTATTAAGTCCCCGAAAGCTCGTTAGTCATTGTATTGTTGACCTTTCGAACTTTAAGGTTTAAACAATGCTACATGCTTTTAAGGGATATGAAAAGCTATCCGTTTATTTATTTTTAAGTAAAAATGATTCCTATTGTTACTCTATTTACATTGAAATTAGGAATCATCTTTTTATCAATGTAGTCTGATGTTAATAAAGAAGAATTAAAGACCGTAAGGATATGATAGTCAAAAAGTTTGTGATAACATTTTGTCATCTAAAATTTTCAGTAGATGCGAATTTATATTTTTACATAGAAATAGTAAAAGGGCTAAAGATATTATGGTATGGTAATATTTAATTCGTAAAACAAAGTAATTTCGTATGAAAAACTCATAGTAATGTGGGTCAAAATGCTACAATAGGTCGATATGTCCGCTCTTGTAACGTTGCATCGTGCGGTATTGTGGCTTCTGGACAGATTGAATTGGAACCACTACATGACGTTTGTGAGTGCGGATATTAATTGTTATTTTGATTAGCGTTGTACGAATTAATACTGCTTTATTTACGCAATTGAATATAAGATTAATAACAACTAGCTATTGCACGCGACTTCGCCCTCGTGATTTTAAAATACAATAACAAATATAGCCTATGTTACTCGCAGTTAGATTATCTTTCTAATGATGAAAGAATTTTTGAAATCGGCTCAATAGTTTCACGTGAATCAAATACATATACAAAAATACAAATCTTTCTTCTTTATGATATTAGCATAGATATTTTATAGATTGTACTAAGAATTAATTTAGAAAGTAAATGAACTAATGTAAGAATACGAAGGCAACATGTAAAATAATGTTATTCTCTCTCATTCAAAATTTCTCTTCTCTAAAATCATCCTTGAAAATAAATGCTAAAGGCAACTGTAAAGTTAAATTGATTTAAACACCATGTCAAATGTTAAAACAGTGGTTTTTGGTCTAAAACAGTAAATTAAATTGGACCGTCATGCAATACTATGACGGGTAAGTGGATTGCTTTGTTCATTTTAAATTTAATCCAAGACTAGTAAGTTATTTTCTAATTAATAATTTTCTTATACAAGGGAATTATGTTCCATTCTTATTATATTAACAAAATACTATTTAATAAAGCATTATTTAGTAATTTTAGATTAAAAAAATATTACTTTAAAAAACGATTTATTAAATACTGAAAGGCTATACCATAATAAAAAAAATGCTTCTGTACCTAAACATTATAAATAGTATAGAAATTTGAACCAAAAAATAAGACATTACTGATTCCAGCATATAAAGCATTTGCAACCGTATAAGTTTATGCAAGAAATAAGATTATGTCCAAAAGCAGGAATGGGAAGCGAGTCTCTACCAGGCTTGAGTAATCCCGTCGCCCTGCGGTCTAGTGGGGACTGTGTAAATTGCATCGTGGAATCGAGTTTCGGGTCGACAGTAGAAGCACTGAACCTCGATACAAGACTAACAAAATTAATTGGGATTCAGTGCTACTAGATGGCGTTGATGGATTGAAGGCTCTCATGTACACCAATTCGAATATGACTGACTTGAAAGAGTTGGAAGAATTGCATAAACGGTCAAAATATTTTAAGCTTTTCTAACCATGTAACTTAACCAAAGCTTTTCTAACTTTGTTCCAAGTTTATTAGTAAATTGGTTATTGATTTTGGTTATAACTAGAATTGTTTAAATTATATCTATATTATAACTACATACAATGGCATAGTAAATTCGTTTTTTTTTTTTAAATAAAAACATTGTCAGATTAAACTATGATTTAAATTTGAATTCATTGATTTCTTTGTGGATCTTTACTCTAAAATCGATACATAATCGTATTTCGTTATTATATAATTCATTAAAATAATTCTTTTTTTACTAAATTTTAAGTAAAAAGTCAATAGCTTGATTCATCTTTCTACTTTCCTTGGGGAATGAGGCTTTTCAACGAACACTCTCAGCGCCTCTCGAAAATGGGTCAACAGCCCTCGTGTGTAAAGTGGTCAACGTTTTAAATAGAATGTATGTAAAAATATACCGCTTGTAAAGTAAAAAGGCTTGTTTTTTAACAAGCCAAATAGGAATAATTAGATGATTGTTACAAAACTCTTCGTATGTTAAGTTAAATTGATATTTTCGACATCAGAAATATTTGCTTTAGTTTTCCTGTAGTATGCTAAAACTCATGCTATGATCCTTCTCACGATGTTATAATTCATCTAAGTAAAAATATTAAAAGCATGGTCCATTTTCTTTTGTTTTTAAACACTGACTCTTTTGTCAAAGTAAATGAAGCTAACGTTTTTAAGTTAATTATGAGTTTTATTAACAGAGTTCGCGTGCATTTTAAATATGTAAATTCTACTTGTGAGCCAGGTCAATGATTTCATCTACGTTACTCTTTTCTATGTAAACCTTTTGTATTATGCAAGTTGAATACTTTGACAACTTTTATAAAATTTAAATTAATACAAAGAAAAACGTATGATTTTTTTGTTTACCGTACATATATTCATTTTTTTCTTTTCTTTTAAACTACTCTTAATCCAAATATTTGATTGAGAAATTCAGACGGTAATATTTATACTCAGAATTAGTTAATGTTCACTCATAGAGGTTCATATAAATTGAAACATATTTTAAGCGTCATTTCTTCTGATCATCTGATCAGTTATTAATTTCCGAATAAAACATAGTAATAAATATATCTTACTGGTACTCAGTGACTTATAGACGGTGTGAATTGTGTTTAGATTTCGCAACAGCGTAAATCTTATTGGACAGCGGTTTGTGGTCGAATTTCAATTACGAGAGAGATAGGATGTGACAGAGAGACCACTTTCGTACTATGTTGCTGAATCAAACTACCGACAAAATATCCGTACAATAATATGACATGAAGATTTCGAAAATAGATTTCAAATGTTACCAAACAATTAAGTTAAAATAGACTTACCTGTCTTAACCAGTTTGAAGGTGACCTGCTGTTGGTTCTTAAGCTGATCATTGTGCGCTGGGTGCGTCAGCTCCCGCAGCGCCATCTCCACCGGCGGCTGCTGCATGCTTACACACTTCGGCGGCGTCGTCTCCTTTGATGAACTGAATTTTCTAAAGAAACTTCTCTTCTTCGGTTTTGAACTTGATCCTGTCAAGAAATGACACGATGTTTTAGTTGTTAATTACTTTATGTACTTTATTAAATCCCAACCGGTTAGGTAAATCGCTATGTTATGAGTTATTTGCATTCAAGCTTGTTAGTATCACCCAAAAAGTCATGCATCATGTATAGAAATAACACGCATTAATATTTCACCAGGCAGTCAAATCCACACGTTTTTTTCTTAAAAACCTTCAAGAGACGATCGATGTGTCGGCGTCGAAGGTGTGGATGTTCTAGCGGAAGGCGCGGGTGAGGGGTTGGAGGCCACGGGTTCGGAATAAGGTCGTGGCGGAAGTAAGCTAAGGGATGATGTCGCTGGAGAAGGGAACTGTGTGCCCGACGCGTCCGAGCGCCGGTCGGGTTCAGGAGTTGTGACACGAATGTTCGCAGTAAACTGAGGCGTGCTCGCTACCTCGAACAGTGCATCAAAGTTTCTGTCGAAAATGTTCTTCCGCGAGAAGGCCGGAGTAGGCAAGGGGGCGGGCAGTTCGAACTCATCTGGAGCGGGGGTCCTAACGATTTTGCCGAATTCGCTGTCATCGTGGCGTCCGAGCTTCTTGAGCAGTTTCGCTTTGGTGCGCTCGCGCAGTTTGGCCGGCCGTTCGAGCGACGGCGTCGGCGAGGCCGGCGCGCGCTCCGCGGGCTCCGGGGGCGCCGTTTTGGGGAAGGAGACGGCTCGGGGCGGGGCGGGGGACGGGGTGCAGGGGCGCGGCGGGGACGGCTGGGGCGGAGGCTCGAACAGTACGTCGAGCGTCGGCCGCTGCCGAGCGCGGGGCAGCGAGTACGAGCTGTACGTCAGGGAAACTACTTCTTCTGCAGGATATATCACGTACATCCCTGGCGAGACCGCATCGCGCCGGCCCCTCGCGCCCTCCGAAGAGGTTTACGCGCGTTCACTTATTTCACTACCACCGAACTAATTCGTTATCGTTTTATGACAATTTTTTAGTCAATTCGTTGCTGAATTCTGTGTGGAATGTAAAGTTTTTATTTTATATACGTGGAACTAGGGTAAGGAATGTTTTATGGGAGATTTTGAGCTGAGGGAGGTAGGAAGGTGTACTCTTCATGTAACGACAGTCGACTGGACTCGTCCATGTAACGCATCTTCAACCTAGATAAGAAAAAAATATATTATAGGTATTTCATTTTACAACACAAGTTAAGCTGGGCTTAGATAAACGTGTCAAGTGTTTCCACAATAACTGGAGCAAATCCTGTTGTGTAGTATCACTCAAAATTTACACAATGTAACTTTACGATGCTTCCAGTAGACGAGGCGTGTTACGGTTATTGTGGAAATTTTATCTAAGGATATTTTACCGTTTTTAAAGCGCCTCTTTTTCTTACTTATTTCACAAAGATATAAATCCTTAGAAAAATAATATTAAAAAATTACCTTTAACATATTTTAGAATATGCACCTGAGAACAACAAACATAATAGCAAGTACATATTATATGTGGTACCCAGAAATTTTAAATATAAACTGGAAAAACAATAACGTTTATTTTACGTATATTTACTTAAATAAACGAGAACATAACTTTTATTTAATTCGTACTCAAGTCAAATAAATTAAGACTAATTCAAAGAGGATGTTGAAAGCGAAATTTTTATATCTTGTTTCGAAAATGTCTAAGTGTAATGAGCCGGAGATGGCTCTCAGAGAACTGTATTGTGTGTACACTCGACCTCTTTTCACTCGCCTTCGAACTTCGCGTCGTCACAGCCCATAATGCGCTTACAACTATATTTGACTAAAATTTAAATCCTCTTTACATATGTAATGTTAAATATCTATTTATTGCAACGGAATGTATCACTATACCAAATGTCAGTCAACAGATGTGAATTACTGGGCATAGACAACTTAATTGAATTACTAAGATATTGGTCCGTCGCTAATTATGCATTAAAAATCCTGTTTTATTGACCATCGCATTATTTTGTATGTCAGCTGAAATTTATTTATCTTAAAGCATATTTGTGAATATTTGGGCCAATAAAAGTGAGTTGTTGCTGCAGAAATTTCAATCTCAATAAGGGTTACATCCCTTAAGTATCTACACTATGTAATTCCTAACAATATAGGTCAAGACTTAAGACTGTAATTCAAAAGCAAACTTGCATTGATTTAGGTGTCATAAATTGAATTAGAAAACCTATAGAGAATTCTTAAACTCTTCTTCAATAATATATGTACAGTTATATGAAAATACATGTATTTACATTTAGTGGTTGTGATACATGTACCTAAGTAATATTACAAGTAGCTGATATCACGTAGGAACCTGTAGCTATTCAATTTATTTCTTTGTTGGATGTGAAGGCTTGTGCGGAGTTCTTTTCATCGTAGTCTCATTATAAGAATGATGTAGCTGCCACACAGTTCATATGGTTTCTGCCTTTATTACTTACCTAATTTAATTCAGATATATAATATAGATCCAAAAATAGATAGCTCCTATCATAAATAAAGTTATCTACTTGTTTTTTTTTATTTCAAAATTAGACGTGATGAGGACATAAATGGACTGTTACCTCCAAGAAAAGAGGGCTGTACTGTTTGAAATCACTTTTCCATTTATGAGACTAATTGTTTGTCATTAAAATAACAAAATACTTCTACATTTTGTTATTTGAAATATTTATGCGAACATGATCAGAAAAAACGCTGTATCGAAAAAGACACATTTTAAAAGCAATTGATTATGTCTCGTGTCTCATTAAATTATTTCCACTTTAACGTAGAGTGCAAAGATGGGAGGCACTTTCAGCATAAAATTAACCTAGATAACCTCTGGATATTGCTCTAGCTAGAACGTGACAAGAGCATACTGGGTGGTAAAGGAAAATAGATTATTTTTATGAGCTTGCAGTCTGGATATGGCTAAGATACTGAGCGTTATGATCCTTAGGATGGACTTCCTAAAATTAAACCTATAAATAATGATGATTGTTATATAATTATTTATTAAAGTTAAGTTGATGATTTATCACTTTATAGTTTGACTTTTCCTCGCAAATTCGCGGGCGTGAAACTAAAAAATAATAAAAAAACATAGCCTATGTTTCTCACAGATAAATTACCTTTCTAATGGTGAAAGAATTTTTGATATCGGCTCAGTAATTTTTCCGTGAATCGAATACATACAAAAATACAAAACTTTCCTCTTTTTTTTATTGTGTTAAGGTGAAAAAAGAGCGAGCGACCACCTGAATCTGCCAAAATGGCGAAGCAACCGCTGCCCATGGACATCCGCAATTTCAGATGCGTTGCCTACCCTTAATCGACGTCTCCGTCGTCAAGAGGAATATAAAGAGGACTTTCCCTACTTATGCGTCTCCCTCACCGTCAAATCCTGTTTTCCTTCCCATCCCTTCCTTTTAAGGAAAAGGTGAAAAGGGTAAGGGACTAAAATTACGCCTGCGGCACCACACTCATCAGACGAAACGCGGAATTGCTTTCACTTGATGCCTGTCTTCTGTGTGGTTGGGTTATTGCAACGGGCAAGCCGGCCCATTCGTGCGAATATGTTAAAGCTGGCTATACCACTGCTAAAAAATCAAATAAAATTTTTGAATGGTTGATTTATATTGTTAAAATGATTTATTTCTGAATCAAAATTGTAGCATTATCACATATATCATTTCTTGCACGCTGCGAGATCGTAATATTCTGTGAAACTATATGAAATTTATTTTATTCATTATTCAGTAGGCATCGTAAAATATATTCGTAGTAGGACGTTACTTTCTTATCTAAATACCTATACGTCTTTTAAAGCACAAGTGTAATATAAAAGTTTATGAAATACGTGCTCATTTTCTTGTTCTTTCGCAGCATTTACCATCATCATCATCTCCCTTGCCTTATCCCATTCCCGTAGTGTCGGCGCACCGGATTTTTGTCCTCCATCCGTCATCTCAGTTACCACTCCCTTCTTTACCATAAAAATATATAATTACGAATACTTTTAAATTCCATATCGTCTCACTTTGGCAGAATTAAACTGCAATAGCCGCTTACTGTAAAGTTTTCATGATAAATCCATACTAAGAAGCTCCCTTAGTGACTATTAAGTATGCCTACATTTCCTTTATAGTTATACTGATTAAAGTAAAAGATATAAATCCATTAGAGTTTCTCCCATAATTCTTTTTGACAGAGTTACTTTGTTTCTCGCCTTATAATGACTGTCAAGGGATGTTCACTACAATCATTTAAAATAAAAGGTTTTAATAAGTAATTATGAATTATTACGTCTCTTGTGTACTGATGCTTATTTAAAATACGGTTTATTATAATAAATTATCTATACTAATATTTGTAATTTTGGACCTTTGTATGTATTGAAATAACTCAAAAACTACCGGATTTAAAACATTTCACCATTAAAAAGCTACGTTATCAGTGAGTAACGTAAGCTATGTTTTTTTTTCTAATTTCACGCGGACGAAGTCGCGAGGAATAGCTAGTAATTTTAAAAACTCGAGAGGTTTTTCGAATACGTAGATATTATTTATCCTTCTGTTTAATTATAATCCTTTTATCCTTCTAAAATCAGACATCCTGAAATGAACTATTGTTTTTTTTAAAATGATATTTTATTTAATTTTAAAACAGAAGCTAAAGAAAGATATGAGGTTGTATAAAATTGACCTAAATGTAATTTGCGTGTGTTTACTTTGCGTTAGGGGAAACAAGCCTTTGAGTATTTCATTTCCCGTGGAAAACAATTTCCGATATAACAGAGAGCTGCATTGCAAGCGTGCTGTACGATACAATGCAATTTTAAAATAATGGAAATAATAAACGATATTGTTCCATGCTTTTTAATTTGTGTTATGTATGCGTTTGACATGAATGTTTACTTTTTGAGGGTAGCAATATATTCAACTAGCTTTCGCCCGCGACTCCGTTTGCGTGGTATTTCTAAAACAAAAGTGAGTATCCTATGAGTAGACTATGTGTTCTACCAGGCTATCCTTTATATCTGTATCGAATTTTATCGAAATCCTTTCAGCCGTTTAAGATACAAACTCTGACAAATATACATCCATCAATCCATCCACCTAAACTTTCGCATTTATAATATTAGTATGGTTGAATTGAAAGACATTACTGTGTATATGAACTGTTATTTTTTATTGTCAAAAATGTTTTTATTAATACACAGGCTTAAAGAAGGTATAGGAAAGTTTATAACGTAAATACAACTTGAAAAGAATATCGTATATTTTAGGTCGGGTCGCCCTAAATTACGATATTTCTTTGGACTGCGACGAACTGAGGATTCTCGTGATGTAGATGCGAATGATTTTGGGTCATCGTTTATTGAATTTGGATTTTTTCATTTAGTTTGCGGACGAACTTAGGGAATATTATTTTAAACTAGAATATTATATGTCTAGAGGAGTCTAGAGGACATACCATAAAAATTGTAAAAATTAATCTCGAGTTTTTTATTTACCTAATTTACCTTTAACATTAAGGTCAGATAAGATTTAAAAATTAAACCAGATCTTAAAAGTATACGAAGTAATAAAACAAATATTTACTGTTTTTACTATTAAATTAAAAATGATATTTTGGTTACTGTATGCGAATAAAACTTAAATTCTCTGTAAGGATATACGGAAATACGTACTAGGATAGTATCGAATGAATAATATCGCTTTATTGTGTCTGTCTTCGTATCATTTTTACGTTTAAATGCCCACAATAATAAAATATGACGCTTAACAAGTTAATATTTGGAAACGCCTGTTTAAGATCTTTGAAATACTTGGAATTCTTTGGTTTTTAATACATGTAATATTTATATTTAT